TGAATTTCTAAAAAATAAGGGGGAAAAATTTTAGAGGGGTGTGGGAGGTAAGTTTGGGGTGCCAATTTTAAATGATAATGGGGGGCCCTTTGATTTAACTTTTTTTAGAAAAGGGGGTTTTTGGTTTTAAAGGAAAAAACATATTTTAAAAAAAAGAGGAAAAAAAGTATACAAGATATGATGTAGGGCAAATGACAAATAGTTTGTTGGGTTTTTTATTGGTAAAAAAAAGACTGTTGAGTAGACCCTTTAGGATTACATGTTTATAGGGGGCCACAGAAATATCAGAACAAATTTCCCAGTTGTAGCTACACTGAGAGTAAAAGGTAGATGGGATACAAGGAGAAAAGAAGCATCAGGGAAGAGAGAGTTGAAGGTTTTTTAAACAAAAAAGGGGGCAGTTAGGGGAAGATTTTAAAACAAACTATTGGGGGGAAAATTGGGCTAATGAGAGCAAGGCAAAAGGGGTCGAAGAGGATTGGGGTAGGTTTTTAAAAAGTAGTGTTAAAAGTGTTTTAGCAGAAGTTTGTGGTTTTCAGGGAAAGGGTTCAGGAGGGAAGAGGAGCGATTGGTGGGAAAGAGAGGGAAAAGGGGAGGGAAAAAAGGGGGAAAAAAATTACATATGGGAAAATTTTTTTCAAAGTAGGGAAATGATGCAAGGGGGGGAAGGGGTATATGGAGAAAAAGAAGAGGTTTAAGAGAGTGGTAAGCAATGGGAAAAAGAGAGCAAATGAGAAAAGTGGGTGGGGAAAGTTATCAACAAAATTTTTTTGAAAAAAAAAAAAAGTTTTGGGGGGGAGATTTTAAAAATTAAGAAAACCTAGAGAACAAATGGATTTTTCCCGTTAAAAATAGGAGAGGAAGTTTTTTAAAAAGGAGGTTTTGAGGGATTGGGGAAAAATGGGGGAATTTTTTGAGGAATTGTTAAAAATTTTTATGAAGAAAAGGGAAAACTGTGAAAATTTGTGTAAAAGGGCCCCCGGGGGAACAACATCTTGTTTGGATGAGGAAGAGCCAGTTGTAGTGGGGGGGGAAAATTCGTGAGGCCCGTAGGGAAAATGAAAAGGGGGGAAGGCAAACTGGGGTTGATGGGGTAAAAGATAAAAAGTTAAAAGGGAGGTGGGGATAAAAGTTTTTGGGGGTGGTTTTTGGGGCAATTATTTAATTTAAAAGTATGGAAGAGGGGAAGGTACCTAGGGGTTGGCAGAGAGCTGCATAGTTCCTTTTTATAAAAGGGAAAAGGGGGAAAAAAAAGAGAGTGCAAAAATTATAGGGGGATAATCTGTTTAGTGTACCCGGTAAAATGTATGTAGAGTTTTTTAATTGAAAGAATTAAGAGTAAGACGGAGAAGGAAAGCAATGAACAAGGAGGGGGTTTTTGGGAAAAGGGAAGGGGGGGTGTGGAAACCCGGGGTTTAAAAGGGAAACATAAAAGTGAACAGTAAAATTTTGATAAGGCTAAAGAGGGTCTTTGTGGGATTTAGGTTTGGAAAAGGCGTATGGGCAGGGGGGATAGGGGGGAATTTTGGGGAAAATGTTGCAAAATGTATGGTGTAGGGGTGGTTTTTTTCCCGAAACAGTGAAGAGTTTTTAAAGAAAGGGTAGTGAGGCCCAATTTTGGGGTATGTAGGAAAGAGGGGCATTTTTTCCCAAATAAAAAATAGGGCCTTTTGACAAAAGGGTGTGTGATGTCACCCTGGGTTTTTTTAAAATATTTATAGGGTGGGGTTGTAAGAGAAGTAAAAAGCGAGGGTTTTTGGGAAGAGGGGTGGATTTAAAAAAAAAAGAAAACACACGCAAAAATGGGGGTTGTCACAGCTGCCCTTTGCTGATGACACTGTGCTCTTGGGGGGGGGTTTTTTAAGAGAAGTTGCAGAGATTTTGGGGGATGAATTTTTGGGAGGGGGGTGCAAAAGAAAAAAAATAAAAAGGGGAATAAAAGGGAAAAATAAGGGTTTTAGGGAAAACAAAAAGATTAGGTGATGAAAGATTTAATACAGATTGGGGGGGAGGGGAGTATGGGGGAGTGAAAAGTATTCCCCAAAATTTTGGGAGTGGACGTGTCAGCGGATGGGGGCATATAGATGAGGTGAATCATAGAATTGATGAGGGAAAAAGAGTGAGTGGGGCACTTAGGGGGTCTGTGGAAAACAAAGAACTTTTTCCCCTTTGGGGGCAAAGTGGGGAAAGTATGAGAGGGATAGTTTTTTCCAACCCCTCTTTTATGGGTGTGAAGCGTGGGGTGATGAATGTTGCAGGAGGAGAAGGCTGGGGGGCAGTGGAGATTTCATGTCTGAGGGCAATGTTTTGGGTGAATATAAGCAAAAAAATTCGGAATTTTTGGGAAATTAGGAGGAGGTTCGGGATTACCAAAACTTTTTGTCCAGGGGGGCTGAGGGAAGGGTTGGGGGGAGGTGGTTTGGACAATTTTTTAAAGGGGAATGTAGCGAAAAAAGAAAGACTTCAAAGTGTATCAGTCTGTAGTGGGAAAGGGAAAGGGGGAGTAGGGGGCGGCCCTAGGAAAGGGGTTGGGGGGAGGGGGTAAAGGAGGTTTTGTGTGGGGAGGGGCTTGGACTTTTTCCAAACAGGCATGGATGAGCCCTGTTTTTATAGGAAATGAAAAGGAGACAAATGGTTTTTTAAAACTTGACGTGCTTTTTTGGGTTGGCAAAAATAACATTTATGAAGGGTTCAGGGGAAAAGGGAGGCCGGAAATTGAGTCCCCGGAGATGGGAAGTACAGTTGGGCCCGCACTCTGAAGGAGGGGGGGGTAATGTTGGGATTTTAAAAAATGTAAATGTAAAAACACCCTTCTGGCAAGACAGTGATTGGGGTGAATGATGGTTTAAAGTTTTTTCCCTTTTTTTGGGGCCCCTGCCTTGGGGGAATCCCAGTGGGGATAATAAAAAAATAAATAATTTTTAATCATTTATTTTACTGTATATTATGTATACATGGTAAATGAACTGTTTTTGTAAATTTTTTCATTTTTTTTCATCACCCATCGTATGTTTACTGTATCTTTAAGTACTGTCGACACATTGGAATGGAAAAACCACGGTAGTGTCATCTTGCCAGAATGTCCCCACAACCTATGCCCTAAATAAAGAGAAAAGACTCTGGAAAAATGTGTAAATAGTATTTGGCACCGGGGGGTTGGGTGCCTGGCCCGACTTTACTTTGGCTGTCTCTCCATCTGTTAAACGGGCCTGTCTATCTTTTCTCTCTTTTCAGGGACACATAAGTAAAGTTACATACATATTTTAAAAAACCTTTAAAAAACCCAAAAAAAATCCCCAAAAGGGTATAAAGTGCTTTGGGGCATTTTTTACTTTGATCAAGGAAACAAAATGTGACGATCTGCCCTTCCCTGTGTAATACCTTTTTTGGGTTTATAAAACGGCTCTCTGAGAAGAGGGACAAGCAGACAGAAAGACAGACACACAGGTAGAAAAGAAAGAAAAGACACACACCCGGGAAAACAAAGAAAAAAGGGAGAAGATCTAAACAGACAGGTTTTTTTTGCAACAGTGAAAACAAATAGTCCCCAGAGTAAGAGCCTTTCCCTTTCCCCTTCCTTTTCCACAACCCCCCAGTGCAAGATTCAACTTTCCTCTTAGGGGCCCTGGGGGGAAATTTTTCTGTCCATTAGTACAGTTAATTTCAGTAGAAAGCCACTTTAAAAGGGGGGGTAACTCAAAGTAAAGCTGCCCACATGGCAAATTGCCGCGATAGTGGGCAAATATGTACAGTGGTATGCATCACCCACCCAGCCCTCCTGCCAGACGCACTTGACCATAAGTCGGATGGTAGGTGTACTATAGGAAAATACACGCAAAATCACTGTTTTAAACCAAAATCAAGGATGCAGTTTTTTTCTCATTATGCACTGCGTGCTGCAGGATTTTTTTATACTGAGCACACTGACCACTCAGACCCATTCCCTCATATGTAGGCCTACCAACTTTCACCCACAAGATTGGAAGCTGCTAGAATTTTGGCATAGTATTACGGAACCGACACTGGCTTCAAAGCCGTAATATTATGGGACCGACAGTGAAAGGGTTAATCACATTCCCAGGCCTCTCCTCTATTACACTTACCTTCGATTTTAAATTCAAAATAACACAAAATAGAAGATTTACTCTTTCCCAGATAACAAAATATAACCAGGAATGGACTGGTCATGGTTTATAGCATCCCAATAATTTTATCAGACCTATCAAAAACCCATAAAACAGACTGGGGGTGTAGGGAGCACCTTACCTATTCTTAAACAAATGGCCAATTTCAAATTACTTCCCATCCTGAAACCAATCAAAATCATCTCTATTTCAGTAGCATGTCTTCCATCAAATGGTACCAAGAAAGAACCAACAAAACCATCCTAGAAAATACCTCAAAGTCACTATTATAAACCATACACCAAGTCAAGAGTTTTGCTTTTTCCACCATGTACCACTTGGGGCAAGATTTTCTTTAATACTGTCCACACTCACAGCACAGACATATTCTCTCATATCTAAGCCAAAATTTACCACTCACAGCTTATCTAACTTTCATGAAGGGTTTCAAGGTTAGCCAGACTTGAGTCCTGAAGTAGGAGCGAGACTGTTGAAGTTGGAGGGTAATCTGAAATGTAATGTCAGCACACTTCTGGCAAGACTGATTAAATGAATGATGGTGAATATGTTTCTGTCTTTGGCTCACCTGCCTTGATAAGAGACAGCCAATGAGGTAAAAAAAAAAAATATATAAAAAAAAAAAAAAATAGTGGTACCCGAGTTACGAACTTAATTCATTCCAGAAGGCTGTTCAAGTGCCGTTACTGAACGAATTTGCTCCCATAAGGAATAATGTAAATTAGATTAGTCTGTTTCAGACTCCCAAAAATACATTTACGAAAGCACTTACAAAAAAACACTTACATAATTGTTTGAGTTGAGAGCTGTTCGAAACTCGAGGTACCACTGTATTTCTTTAGTACAGTATGTACTTACTAGACTCATAGGGGCAACAGAAGGCCATATAACTCGTTGGTTGGGCTCATACATAGGATTTAGATATTTAGGAAGCACTTCTGGACGATTGACAAATGACCACAGGCTGGCTGTTCTCTCCTGAGCTTTCATTGCTCTACGTTCAGATTCATTATTCCCTAAAAATGTACCTGAAAAAAAAGGGTATTTTATAAAAAACCAGAACTATAAAAGTCATCAAAGAAAAGTGCTACATTATAGATAATTTATGACATGTATATAAATAATCCTAGGTAGTAGGTTGGTAGACAGCAACCGCCCAGGGAGGTACTATCGTCCTGCCAAGTGAGTGTAAAACGAAAGCCTGTAATTGTTTTACATGATGGTAGGATTGCTGGTGTCTTTTGTCTGTCTCATAAACATGCAAGATTTCAGGTAAGTCTTGCTACTTCTACTTACACTTAGGTCACACTGTACATACATGTACAAGCATATATATACACACCCCTCTGGGTTTTCTTCTATTTTCTTTCTAGTTCTTGTTCTTGTTTATTTCCTCTTATCTCCATGGGGAAGTGGAACAGAATTCTTCCTTCATAAGCCATGCGTGTTGTAAGAGGTAACTAAAATGCCGGGAGCAAGGGGCTAGTAACCCCTTCTCCTGTATATATTACTAAATGTAAAAGGAGAAACTTTTGTTTTTGCTTTTGGGCCACCCCACCTCGGTGGGATACGGCCAATGTGTTGAAAGAAAGAATATAAATAATAATAAAAGCTGGCTTGCTCCAGAAGATTTAATTAATAAATAAGCCTGATCTCACTATCATCATTAATAACAACACCGTGCACTTTGTAAATGAACTGCAATTCTACGTCCATTACTGAAATCTATTTGTTTGATATTTGTTTTTCATTCAACATTAAAAGAAGACTGCTGAACTATCCATAGGCCCTAAACATAAGTTCTAAACAACACTAATTCCTCATGATTAAGTTTGACAATATACTGTTTAAGTAATTTGTAGAAAATTACAAGACCTGTTTTCACACTGATTTTTCCCACACCTTATACATATTCATATAAAAAGGTTATTTCTAGCTTATTCACACTGAATCCTTTTGTAGTAGTTAGAGAAGTCTCTGGCTGACACTGCTAATGGTACTGTAACATCCACACACCAGAGAACTGCCATCATTATCCACTGTTATTTTACTTTGATCCTCTACTTAAACTGCCACTGATATAAATACTAGAGGATTGACATTTAGATCACTCTTCTTATAAAATTAACATTTTTACATAATACTTCTATTGATATTATGTGAAACTGTCAAAAATGGAAAGAAAGTCAATAATTATTATTGACAAGCTTATAGTCATCACAGTCATTCCAGGAATGCAAATACAGTGGAACCTTGACTTACGAGTTTAATCCGTTCCAGGAGCTAGCTTGTAACTCAATTTACTCGTATATCAAATTAATTTTCATCATTTAAATTAATTGAAAAGCCATTAATTCATTCCTGCACTCTGGAGAGACAAGAAGAAATACTTGAATATGACACTATTATCAACTGTACGGCTTATTTATCTATCACAATTCATCTAATATGACATAATAAACAATATAATTGGCACAGAAACTTGATATATACTCTAGAATGAATAAAATAGGTCATAATATGGTGGCAGAGGCAAAAGCGTCGCCATTTCTGTCCCAATTTGACTACAGTATCTTCCCTTGTTCTTACTGTAAGAGAAAAATGGAGTATTTTTGAGGCTAACTTCAGTAGATCATTAGGACCCTGT